ACAAAAAGTTAAATAAATAAAAACTTTATGTATTTTTAAAAAGCACATTAATGAAAACAATAATAAAACCTGAATAAAGTCCATAGTTAATATTAACATATCAACTTTAATTTCTTGGTTTTGACCATGTACCATGGTTATATAAGATGTTAATATTTGGAAAACTGAATGAAACTGGATGAAAGGCATATAGAAACTCTATGAATCTTTGCAAGTTTCCTGTTAATCTAAAATAGTTTACCTTTTTTATTTATTTATTTATTTATTTTTTCGTGTCCGGCAACGGATTGCAACCCTCAGTGTCGCGCCCGTACTGCCACCAGGCCAGCCCTAGTTTAGCTTTTTAATGGGCAAAAGTATTTGAACTGACACTTCTTAAAAGATACACAAGTGACCAATAGGACTTGAAAAATGCTCATGACAGAAACACAATTTAGAACCAAAATGAAAAAACTCTACATTATTGTTAGAATGGTTAAAATTAAAAAGACATACCTCTTAATGAAATGAACAAATTCTTGAAAGACATAAACTACCAAAGCTCCCTCAAGAAGAAGATACCTTGAATAACCCTTCAACTATTAAGAAAATTGAATTTCTAGTTTAAAACCTTCCCACAAAGAAAACTTCAGGCCCAGGTAACTACAATGGTAAATTCTACCAAATATTTAAGAAAAAATTCCAGTTCTACACATATTGTTCTAGAAAATAGAAAAGGAGAAAACATTTCCCCCAACAGTGTGTTGAGGCCAACATTACCCTGACAACAAACCAAACTAACAGAGCACAAGAAAACAAAACTACAGACCAATATTCTTCATGAATATATATGCAAAAATCCTTTAAAAGTTTTTAACAAATTGAATCCAGTTGCTGTTGACTGAACTGTGTCCCCCAAGTTTTATCTATTAGAGGCTTGATTCCCACTATGACTGTTAAGAGGGTAGGAAATCCTATTATGATAACTGAAAGGTGGGACCTTGAAGAGTTGATTAAGTTTATGGTTTAATGGTGACCATGAGCATAGTTCGGAGGGCTTTAAAAGGACAGCGCAGGAGGAACTCACTCTCTTTCTACTTTGCCATTTTCTACCATGTGAGACCCCTGCATTGCTGTAAAGTCACCACCAGAGAAGACCCTCACCAGATGTGTTCCCTGGACTTTGGATTTCCCAGCCTCCAAAACTGTAGGCAATAAATATCATTTTCTTACAAATTTCCCAGTTCTAGGCATTTTATTATAAGCAACAGAAACAGACTAATACAACAGTAATATGCATAAAAAGAATAATTCATCACGACCAAGAGGGTTTCCCCAAGAATACAAAGTTGGGTTAACATTCAAAAATCAACTAAGGGGGCTGGTTGGTTAGCTCAGTTGGTTAGAATGCAGCCTTGTAAACACCAAGGTCACAGGTTCAGATTCCCATACTGGCCAGCCACCAAAAAACCCAAAGAAACAAAACAAAAACAAAAAAAAATCAGCCAAGGTATTTCCCCATAATACTGGAAGAAATAAGAAAAAGCATACAATTATCTCAGCAGATACAAGAAAGGCATTTTATAAGTAAAAATTTAAGATGACAACAGCAGAAATTTCATAAGAAACATGATTAAATGCCAAAGGGGGGGGGGGATTGATGTAATGTGAGACAATGCCAAATGTTTGTAAGGCATCAAGTACTGTAGTAGTTTGAAGACTGTCCCACCAAAACTCACTGAAGTTTGAACTGTGTCCCCCAAGTTTTACTTAGTAGAAACTTAACACATACTGTGATTGTTAAGAGGGTGGGAAATCCCATGGTGAAAGGTGGAGCCTTGAAGAGGTGATTGGATTGTAGGACTGTGCAGTAGTGAATGAATTAAAAAATGGTGGCCAGGGGCATGGTTCTGAGGGCTTTAAAAGAAGAGGAGAGTCTGTCTGTCTGTCTCTCTCTCTCTCTGCTTCCACTGTCTTGTAATGAGAGATGCTTGGGTCACTGTCACCACCACCAGATGTGTTCCTTGGACTTTGGACTTCCCATCCTCAGAAACTGTAAGCAATAAATTTTGTTTTCTTTCTAAATTACCCAGTTCTAGGTATTTTGTTATAAGCAACAGAAATGGACAAATACAAGTATAGACCCAGTTTTTTATAAAAGAGTTAATTACATGTGGTCTTAGAAGATAATCTCATTTCTTTCAACATCAAATATGCCTCCTCACTGTATTTTTACTTAGGCTAAGATTTAATTCTCATACATTGAAAGCATTTAGGTTAGAATATAATTAATGGCCTTGTGTAGAGGATTCATAAAGCAAATGTACTTCACAGGGCCTGGTTTTCCAAAGCCTTGCAGTTTCAAATATTGACCTTGCAAAGGACAGGAAATTTTCCCCAGGCTATTGAGTCTCTGTTGCAAGATAAGAATCATAACACAGCAAGGCTGCTGGTTCAAAGACAGACGGGTTACTAATTGATATGTAAAGTTACTAAAAAGCTGCTGGAGGGAGAAGGAATGTTTGCTAAATCAAGCCTTTGTTAGTGGATCACTTAATTGTCTAATAGAATGTCATCTTACTTGTTTTTACTGAATGTTACCAGCTTCTATTGTAAAAACTTGTTAAACTGTACTTAGCAAAACCCCACCTATGTGTCTCTTCCTGTAACTTCTTGGTCTGGAGAATAAACGCAGGAAGAGAACACCAATTCGTAGTTAATTTCCCAAATGGAAGGATGACTCACACTTGAGGGTCCTGGTATATTAACCCCTTTCTAGGGCTTCTCACTGCTCAAAAGAGATGGGCTTTGAGTAATCTTTGGTGGCTCCATCACCCAGGGGGAAAGGGGTGACAAATCCATGGGAGGCAAAGCAACAGCCTTGGGCCAATTTGTTAAGGGAATGACAAAAAAAGATAAAAGTAAAGGTTTCTTATATGCTACATACAGGAAAACGTTAAAGTGACTAATTAATATGTAGATGGCATTATCCCCTGAAAGGAGACAAGTAAACCAAACTCCCTGTCTGTATCTGTCAAATGATTATGGGAAAGTTGCTTCCCTTCTTCAAGTCTCTTTTTCCTGTCTTTTTATAAGAGGACATAATGCCAGATTCATTCTGTTATTCAACAAATAATTATTTAGTGCCTACTATGTGTCAAACACCTTTCTAGACACGGGGGATAAAGCAATGAAAAAAAAAAGACAAAAATCCCTCCCCCTCATAGAATTTAGAGACAGAAAAATATGTAAAATACTTTTCATGGTAAATGGTATAAATAGTGTGGAGAAAAATAAAGCAGGAAAGGGGACAGATGTACTGATGGGGCTGTGATTTTAAATGGGTTATTAGGTAAATACATGATTTCTAGGTTCCCTTTCAGTTAAAAAATCCAATGATTTTCTTCTTTTTTGACTAGGAAGCATAAAAATATACAATGAACCTCTGAACCAGACCTCTTTAAACTCATACATTCTATCACCTTGATCTGTGTGTCACCACTTATATTTTAGAAAAACAAGATTAAACATACATTTTTTCATACTGAGACAAAGCATATGCTGTCATTTAATGAAACAAGTAATTTCCCAGTCTTGCCTTGGGAGAGGAAAATAAGAAAAATAAAACCTAGCAATTTCTCCCCAGTCAAAAGTTCTAAAAATGTAGCATTTTTGTAAACTACAGAAAGAATTAAAATTAGTTATTTTCTCTCCCCTTCTATTACATTTATGATCTGGATTTGATCCTTTATTGGGCCTAAGTTATAACAAAAGATGGTTTAACAGCATCTCTGAAATGGAGAATTTTTCATAGACAAGGAAAGTCATACGAATGATAAGAATTACTACTACAGTTATTGCAACTACCATATTTTGTATGTTTACTATGTGCCACATACAGCAATAACTACATATTAGGTTGAACTATGAAATTGCCAGCATACAAAATATGGAAAAAAATAACTAATTTTAATCCTTTCTGTAGCTTACAAAAATGCTACATTTTTAAAACTTTTGGGGAGAAATTGCTAGGTTTTATTTTTCTTATTTTCCTCTCTCAAGGCAAGACTGGGAAATTACTTGTTTCATTAAATAATAGCATATGCTTTGTCAAATTCAATGACAGAGAAATCTGTGTAGGTTAATTGCATTGCTGCTTTACTACAGTTCTTCTATTACATTATTATCTCGAGCAAATCTTCAAGATAACATGGAGATTTTATCTGGGGTAGTAAAGGCCCTCTGTCAAGCTGATAGTGGTACAAATGACAACTGGAAAGTGCTGCCTATCTGTGACAATGAGTTCATGCAAACAAATATTTAATTTTATCTAGGACTTAATTTGATGAATTAAATATCTTAATCCATACCACAAAATTCCTCAAAAGCTATTTATAACCATGTGGCTTCATTTTAAGAAAAGCCACTATTCTGTTTACAAATACAGAATCTGCATTTCAAAATTGACATTTTTTTCCTCCACTAGGGAAGAGTATACAGCAACCCAAAATTATAATATCTTAAATCTGTCCACTTGGGTTGGGATTTCTATTCCTTTGGAAATGCCTCACCAAAGAATATTTCCCAAAAGAGAACACTGTCCACAAACCAGCCTATTATGCTCAATCCAAATAATTTTTAAATTCATTTTTAAAAAGTAGATTAGTCCCTATAGTTTATTTTTTCTCCTGGCAGCTATTTTTCATTCACTATACAGTTCATGTTTACAGTTCACAATTATGCCATTAATAAAATAGTCTGTTAATGATCTTGTAAGTAATTTTACATAATTTAAAGTTTCTTTTAGCAGAATAAAGCAAGCACTTTGTACGTTGCATTATTTGCAGATGGAAAAGTTTGATTCCAACATTTAAATGCCAACAAAAGTCTCAGTAAAATATTAAGAAAAATAATAATAACAACTACTACCTAAAGTTTTCTGGACAAAAAAATTAATCCAAGAATATGATAATTCCCTTTAGAAAACAAGGAGTTTCAAAAACAAATATGCAAAAACCTACCAGGTCATTGCTTGTAGATGTGAGTCTTAGTTTTTCTTCAATTTCCTTTCCAATTTTCTGAACAGTTACCTGAGTCTGTTTAATTGCACACTGGGCTCTATGAAGCCTAGAAATACAAATTGTAGAAAAATTTAAGTGAATTAACTATATAAACTTTCAACACAAAGCCAAAGACATGAATGACAAACCTTCCATGATAAACGGAATTGATAATGAACTCAAACTGATTGTTTCTCAATTCTCTAGCATGTTTACAATGAAATAACAGGGACTACAATAAATCCTAAAATGATAAAGCTCTAAAACAACATTTCTATAACTGCCTGACTGCCTCTGATATATTGAGAGCTAGGATGAAGAATTCACAGAAGTCTGAAAGAGCTCTTAGAAAATAATCTGGTCAAGTCCTATCATTTCACAGATGGGGAAACTGAGACCCACAAAAATTAAGTAGATTGCTAAAGTCAACAAGAGAGTATAACTGCTCTCAAAGCTGACTATTACTTATGGGCATCCATAAAGAAAAAAAGAATTCACAATAATCCCAATTAAGAAGGATGAATCAAAGTAGCCAACACTCTGAAACATACGAATAAACAAAATTATACAAAAGACAAAATAACAAGAGGATGTAAATATTGGACCAACATTTAAACAGCAACTACATTCTTGGTGAGTACTCTTCAAGGTACAGTGAAAAAATTAAGAGCTATTTTTCTTTTTGACATTAATTATGGTTTTGTGGGTGTTTTGCTTTTTGGTCTCTTTGTCTTTAAATATAGCTCATAAATTTCTTATATATTTCCATACCAAAAAGTGGTCAAACTGTCTTTATTTGTAGATGACATGATTGTCATGTGAAAATCATTAGGAATGTACATAAGAACTATTAGAATTAATAAGCAAATTTGGCAAGGTCATAGGACTCAAAGATAACATACAATAAAATCAATTATATTTCTATATATTAGCCACAAACAATTGGAATATGAAACTTAAAAAACAATAACTTTACAATAGCATTAAAAAACATAGAAAATAGCTTCCAGTCAAAATGGCAGAATAGATGGTCCCCAGTGTCACTCTCTCCCACAAATCAACCAATTTAAAACTATTAAAAGCAATGACAGCCAAGCTGGGCCGCTAGAGCTCGGGGGAAGAGAAGGAGAGACCTACGGAGTGCATGAAGGCAGGAGAAGCCACAATGAGAGAAAGAAAGGATGGCTCCAACCATTTCGAATCCCAGCTGCTTCAAGGCTGGAGCTGGTGAGCACACGGATCTAAGGCTGGCAAAAGCTGCAGCTGTGGCATTCCTATGAAGTTGCTTGGAAGCAGCAGGGGAAAAGAGGGTCTTCGTGGCCCTCAGGCCAGCAAGACCACTAATGGAGTTCCCACGGACCCACATAGGAGAGAAGAGCCAAAACAACTGAAAAAAGGAGCCTCTCAGAGGCCCATGAGTCACTGCAAAGGACTAGCACTCTACCCATCCCATGGGAAGTGTTTGGAGTGTGGGTAGTGGGGGAGACGGGCCCAGCAGGGGCACGGCACCTGGACAGCTGATCTGCCCTCCAATCAGCACAGGCCCACTCTGTGTAGATTGGTCAGGAATACAAAACTGAAGGGGGAGCAGTTTGCTGAAAAGACTCAGGTCTAGACCAGAGTTTCCACACAACTCATGTGTACTGAACCTCACAAGACCCAGAAGTACCTATAAAGTCAACCATTAAAACCTGAGCTGCACAAAAAGCCTTTCCCAGGGAATCAGCAGCAAAGCAGCAATTTAGCTCAACCACAGAGCTCAAGTCCTGGTCCCCACAGGAAGTTCCCCCCCTTTTAGAACTAAGCAAAGGACAACAAATTAGTTCCAGCACAGAGTTCAAGTGGTGGGAACAGCAAATAATCCAACACAGAACTGAAAGAAAAAACAAAGTACCCACAACCAGAGACAAAATTTGATATTAACTAGTAAAGGTCTCATATCACCAAAGAACAGCAATAAAACCTAGAAGGACCAGAAGCCCCCTGGGCTCCCAAGCCAGGGAGGGAGGAGGGCCAGGGGCCTCAGCCATGCCCCCGATACCCACAACCAGCCCAGAGACAACCACCAAACTGCTACAGGAAGTCCAGGCTTCCGAGCCAAGGCAGTGGGGGGCCAAGAGCCTCGACCACGCCGCCGTGACACCCACAACCAGCCCAACAATGACCACTAAACCACTGCTGGAAGCCCCTCGTCTCCCAAGCTGGTTAGTGAGGGGCTGAGGGCTTCAGCCACACACCCCCCCTGACATCTGCACCCAGCCCAGCAATGACCAAGCCACCACTATAAGTACCCTGGTCTCCTCTGCAAGAATGAGGGGGGTGCCACAGGCCTCAACCACGCCCCTCACTATTTCCTTCCCCCTTCTCCTGTCTCCCTCCCACCCAACTGCTCTGCAACAACATCTTAGAATGTAAAAGAAAGTAACATTAATAAATAAACTTGAAAAAATAAAATAAAGCAAAAACATAGAAAACTTAGGAATAAAATGAACAAAAGATGTGCAAGATCTGGCCCTGAAATTACAAAACACTGCTAAGATAAAGTAAAAATGAGCTAAATAAATGGAAAAATACATTACATACATGGACTGGAAGATTCAATATTGTCAGTTTTTCCCAAATGGATCAGTAGTTTCACAATCTCAATCAAAATCCCAACAGTCTTTGTTTTTTGTAGCAGTTAAGAAGCTGATACTGTAATTTATATAGAAAAGCAAAGAATCTAGAAGTGACAAACCAATCTCGAAATTTGCCAGATTTCAAGGCTTTCTATTTAGTTATATAATCAAGACAATATGGTACTGGCACAAAGACCAAAAAATAGATCAATGGTACAGAATAAAGAATACAGAAATAGATCTACACAACTTATTTTTGACAAAGAAACCAAGGCACATTAGCTGAGAAAAAAGTTTAAACTAAGGTGCTGGAACACTAAATAAACATAGAAAAAAAATGAATCTCATTCCTACCTCACAGCACACACACAAAAATTTAATTTAAAAAGGACCATAGTAAATGCAAAAGCTAAAATCATAAAACTTCTAGTAGAAAATACAGGAGAATCTCTTGCAACCTTGGGATAGGCAAAGATATATGAAAAGACACAAAAAATTAATCATAAAATTAAAAATGGATAAATTAGACTTTACCAAAATTAGAAATGTCTGTTCATCTAAAGATGACATGAAGAAAATGAAAAAGCAGTCCACAGACTCGGAGAGAATATTCACAAAACATCTCTCTGACAAAGGATTGTGTTTGGAGTATATAAAGAATTCTTACAAATCAGTGAGAAAAAAAAAGACAATCCAATTAAAAATGGACAAAAGAGTGAAATAAACACTTCACAAAAAAGATATAAGAATGACCACTAAACACAGAGGTGCTAAACATCTTAGTCACCAGGAAAATACAAATTAAATCATTAAGAGATACCATCTTATATCTGTTACAATAGCTAAAATTAAAATGACAACTCCAAATGCTGACAAGAACTTGAATAAATTGCTGGTAAAAGTGTAAAATACCATTTTGAAAAGCTGTTTCTTATAAAGTTAAAAATACATCTAACCTACGGCTTAGCAATTTTATTCCTAGGTATTTACCTAAGAAAAATAAAAACAAATACCCACAAGAAGACTGGTATAAGAATATTCATAGAAAACAACCCAATCAACCATTAAACAGGAGAATTAATAAACAAATTGAGATATCCTCATACAATAAAAATCTATTCAACAATAAAAAGGAATATACCACTAATACACATAACAATATGGATAGATCTCAAAAACATAATGTTGAGTGAAAAAAGCCAGAAACAAAAAAGTACATGCTGTGTAATTTCCCTTTATACAAATTCAAGAACAGATAAAGCAATCTATGGTGACAAATTAAGAGTGGCTATTTGCCTATGTGGGGTGGAGATTGACTGATAGGGGGCAGGGGAAACAAAGAAACAATGTGAGGTGATGGAAATGTTCCATATCTTGACTGGGGTGAGGAGTACACCAAAACACACAGAATTTACACTTCAGACCTGCACATTTCACTGTGTGTAAATTTTACCCTTGGGGTTTTTTGTTTGTTTGTTCGTTTGTTTTTAATTTAATTTTATTTTATCAATATACAATGTGGTTGATTTTTGTGTTCCTTTACCGAATCCTCCCTCCCCACTCCCGCCCATCAACATCATATCTGTTCGCTTGTCTTAACAACTTCAAGGAACTGTGATTGTTGTGTCTTCTTCCTGTCCCCATCCCCAGTTTGTGTATGTATGTATGTATGTATGTATGTATGTATTTATTTATTTATTTTTAGCTCCCACAAATAAGTGAGAACATGTGGTATTTCTCTTTCTGTACCTGACTTAACCTGACCTCTCTCCATATGGGAGGTTCATTTTATTAAGGATTTGAGGGCATGAATACCTCTGCCAACATTGTTATTATGACCCTACACACTAAAAATGTTCATGGCATATTCTGCACTTTGGAAAACTGCCTGTTAGTTATTGAGGATTTTTTAGTTCATGTAAAAGGGACCAACTCTTGGCTCATGAGATGAGTAATTCAACAACTTCCTCAGGGCTTCTAAGGAATCCAGTAAAGGAGGTTATACTCCATCCTAGTGCCTCTTGCTCTGGCTATGAATATGTGTTTAATCTACATTGATCGTGATACTCTCTTACAAAGGCAATTGTAAAGAAATTTATAACTCTGAAGAAGGCCCTTTGTGATGTGGCCCCTGCCTAAATTTCCAGCCTCATTTCTTGATATTCTTTACCTTGCACCCTCAACCACAGCAATACTGAACGCTTGCAATTCTCTAAGCATACCATGCCAGTTCTTATAGCACACAGATATTCAATGCTATACTCAACTTACAACATGTAAAATCAGTCTGTTTCAATTAAAAACAAAACTATGCCATTTCTTGCTTCTGTACCTTCGTAAGAACTGTTCCATAGCCCTACAAGTTCTACCCGTCCCTTAACAGGTAATTAGACTCCTAATCCATTAAGAGGAAGCTCAAGCATAACCTCTTGTTCAAAGGCCTTCCCCC